GCCACAACCACTTCACTATAGGAGGCCGACTCGTGATTGTCGTAATTGTTTTTCATGTCATCTAATTTGGGAGAATTTCTTTGTGTGTAAAATCCCTAAACGATTACAAGTTATAACATTAACAAGTACCGGAAGTGTGCAGAATGCAGCCTTTTGAACTAATAAACTGTAGAAACATCGGTTACTTTCCTAAATTTTGTTTCATTTTTTCCCCTCTTTTTTTAAAAAAATTCGGAAGAGGGAACAATTATTACTCACGGGCAAAGTCAGTAATACACACTACGAGGAGGAACCCAAAACAACCGGAATTTTGCTGTAACTTGAGAACGATGGAAAATTTTCGGGTTCCACCGCAAGGAGGCGTAACTAGGAGCTAGGAAGAGTTCCTGGGCCAAATTTAAACGTCGTAGCATAATTTCTTTTATTTTGACGAGACTTGGTTCAAGGGATTGTCTGGCGAGTTGGTCGTTCTTGAAGATGGGTCAATTTCAGTAACATATTTCTCTGTTAACCTTTTGAAGTGCTGCTTCTGGAGGACAAATCATATCAAGAACTGTACAGTGTAAGTACGGGTTTTTGCTTTAAAAATGGTGCTGTATCACCCAAAACCCCTGTATGGCTCCAAACAACCATCGCCATTTGATAGAATCGATGCAAGTAATGAAAAAAAAAATGCATCTTTGTGAATGAGGCTGGTTATAGATCATTCAATTTACTAGCGAATATCATTTGAATGTCATGCAGAAATATTCAAAACATTGCTGTGAAAAATTTGGGCATAAAACCCGTGGTTCCCGCATTGATTTCCCATTTAGCGTTCTATCCGGTGACTATCGCTGGGCGTTCAGCCGAAGTTCGAATAATAAATCACACTCTAAAAGAAAGAGAAAAATTTATCCACTTATATCATGAGTGAAACATGTTCCCTGCAAGATTCACTTCAAAAATTGACAGAGTTAATTGCGCATTGTCCATTTGCCCATGAAAATCACCCATCTTCCAAAACGGCGAACTCGCCAGACAACCCGCCTTAATTCAAGTCTCGCCAAAGTAAAAGAAAATGTGCTGCGACGTTAAAATTTGGCCCAGTAGCTCTTCATAGCTTCTAGTTACACCTTTTAGCGGTAGAACCCGGATATTTTCCACCGTTGCCAAGTTAAAGCAAAATTTCGGTTTTTTGGGTTCCTCCTCGTAACTTGCTTGAATAAAACAAAACAAAACAAAACTTAAAAAATTAATCAATATTAAGAAACGACCTGACAATGGGCCTGTTGCAAACTTTTGCTAGAGCAAAAATAAGAGTTGTTTCTTATAGATAATGCCTCGAAAATCACGATGAGCGCATTAGCAAAGTCTGAAATGCACTCATAACTTCACATGAGACGATAGTATCGTCTCATGACGGCAGACAGAAATCATCTTCAACAACATGTTTACGCAGCTAATTCAAAACCATCAAAAATCGCGATACGCACTTCTGCAGTTTCACCATCGATATGCCATTGAATGTAAAAAAAATGATCTCTTGACTTTTTATTTCCTGTAGGTTTGCGAAATTACCTTACATCGGAGGGGTCAATTAACTATGAAAAGCTTCTATTCAGTGTCATCCTATCGGAAGACAAAAATATTCGCAAGGTGACACGTGCGCATGATGATTGGTCAGGTAATTTTTTTATGTACAATGGAGAATGGTGTTTCACTTATCCTTTGAACAAAGTTAATATGTAACAATCTGAATAAAGTATGTTTAGGAAGATATATCAAAAGAGATAACGTGATGCGCAGAAATTGCGATGGCAACTTTGGAAATAAGAAAAATAAAAATAAAAACAGGAAGTCGATATTTACTTGTATTGACAGCAAGTACAATCCAATGATAGCGGAGGAATGAAAAAATCCCTGTATATACTAGACAACGAATATGCAGAAAATCTGAGTTTTGTATGTACGTTAGATATACGGTAAGCAGAATTCCATCCGCGATGACTTAAGTGGAGTCTGTCCCCTCTCTTCCGTGTATCTACTCGATCCCTCTCAAAACATTTAAGGGATTTTGGTAAACGAGCGAGTGAAAAATCTTACATCTTTGAGACAATATTTTAATTCATTTTTCGGTAAGAACACATCTAAATTGCTCTCAAAGTGACTCAATCGTTCAAAATCTCCCTAGAAAGCCCTTCGCAATCTCTTTCTTAGTTAGCCAAGTCCCCAAATGCCTCCTTTGGCGATAGGGGTTAACCGCAGTACTGGCTAAAAGTCAGACGCGGTACGACTCTCCAGGTCATTATGGGCCTGTTGCAAACTTTTGTTAGAGCAAAAACAAGAGTTGTTACTCATAGAAAGGGTCTCAAAAATCACGATGAGCGTATCGGCAAAGTCTGAAATGCACTCCTCATTTCACAATTTGCGTAAGAAATTTGCGTTTTTTTTAGCTTCACGCTTCTAAAACGATACCACGGCACAAGTGAACATTTCGTTAGAGGAGTCATTCCATCCAACCCCTTCTCACAAAGGATACTACGCAATATTCAACATAGCCGACGCCAATCTGCCAAAATACATGCGATGGGACGATGTTTCTAACCACCTGATAACAGTCGGCGTGTTTACATTCAAATTTTTCTCGCGTTGATGGATGTCCGCCTTGATTAACCTCGTGGTCTTCTCAACTTGCGCGCGAAAGCGCCGGCCATGTTGAGCAGGTATTGAATGGAACGGCTCCTCTAACGAAATTTTCACCTGTGCTGTAGTATCCTTTTCGAAGCGGGAAGCTTAAAAAAAAAACACAAATTTCTTACGCAGATTGTGAAGTTAGGAGTGCATTCCAGAGTTTGCCGATGCGCTCATCGTGATTTTTGAAACATAATCCATAAGGAACAACTCTTATTTTTGTTCCAGCAAAAGTTTGCAATCGGTCCATTACCAACTAGAATTTCATTCCAGGTAATAGGAACACATCACACAGTGGATCGAGTCAACGAGAGAGGTCGGACATGAAATTTTTGACGAAAACAGCAAATTTTTATTTTTATTTCGTCACATTTTAAATTTTAAGGGGTGCTTTAAGAAGAAAATTTTACGAACCAAATAGAGCCACTTTTAGAACCTCAAAGTTTTGTATAAACGGAGTCATAAGCGTTTAAAGTTTCCCAATTTTGTGGGACCTCTTCAATTCCTCTGTGCGTCGCCGAGAAAGTGTGAGTTTTGATGATCAAGGAGTATCGGATGAAACAGCAGCATACTCCCCACTACTGTAATCATTGACTAATATTGCAAATGTCAATCTTTCTGAAGGTACGACGGCTCTGGTAGCAGTGATAGAAGGATCACAACTGATCGTGGCAAATGTGGGAGATTCCCGGGGTGTCATGTGTGACTCTAAGGGGGACGCAGTACCCTTGTCATTTGATCATAAACCTGATAGGGTAAGTTCAATCAAAAGCAATAATCATTTGAACCAACTTTCCTAGCACAAAACCATCTCCAGCACAACGACATTATTGACATTATTGACATTATTTTATACTTGCATAGTTTATGACGTATTTGAAATAACAGTGTAGGTATCGTACTCTATATTATAAAATTATAAGCTTAGTGCGAGCTTAAGCTGGGCGTGTCCGCTCCAGAGCTGCCTAAGAATTCAGATAATGAAATTCCCTGACATTTCCCTGATACATTTTGGTGAAATTCCCTGACGATCGAAAATATACCAGAATATCGGAATAGTTTGCAGACAAAATGTGTTGTTCGGAATGTCAAACCCATTCCAGATAGCAAATAAAGATGACCCAACAATTCTCCCTGCAAATTTTTCGTTATTTTCCCTGACTTTTTGAAATTCCCTCGCATTTCCCGATTGTCTCGGTATTCCCTGACTATGGCAGCTCTGGCTACTCATTCCACTGCATCATCCCTCCTTGCGCATTCTACTCCAACTAAATCTACTATTCCTTTCTCATACAGAGCTTTCATTGCACCCCCACCTTCTTTCTGGTTTTTTCCAACCAGCGACTTTGCCACACGTTCTTTTGTGTTTTGTGTGATTTTGGTGGGTTGACGTCGGCCATGATGAATATTGCGTAGCATCCTAGTGGACAAAGGTTGGATGGAACAGCTCCTCTTACGTAATGTTCATCTGTGCCGCAGTATCATTTTTAAAGCGGGGAGCTTTAAAAAACGCATGATTCTTGAGCAGATCGTGATGTTGGGCGACTCTTAACTTCACGATTGGCTGAAGAAATATGCGTTTTTTACCTTCCAGCTTCAAAAACGATTCTACTTCAGACTTTTCCGATGCGTGACTTTTGCGCCATTCTCTGTGAGAAATAGTAAGCTGGGATTTGATCGGAGATTGCATTGCGATTTTTTCAACGTTGATTTTTTGCAATATTCGTCGTTCCCCTCACGAAAGAACGTAATTACATTCCATTCTCGCTTTCCCCCTCGCAAATTGCATTTTTACCAGGGGAGTTTTGAGAATTCTCAACTGAAATTTTAACTGGTTATTTTTTTCGGATCTCGAGTTGAACAAAAAGTTTACGGGTATATTTTTGATGAAAATATTGTATTTTTTGAATCAATGTTGCAGCATTGCAATGGAGTTACGTTCTTTCGTGCAAGAAACGACGAATTATCGGATGAAAAATAGCGATAAATTGCAATTACATCACATAAAATATCAATGAAATCGCGATTTTATCGACGAGTTTTATCGCAATGTCATCGAAAAAAATCGTGATGAATTGAGATAAAAATTAGATTTCATCAAATGTGATTTTATAGAGATGAATTAGCCACAAAATCGAGGATAACCGCTCGGACGTCGATAATCCCCGCGATTTTATGGCCAAAAATTCATAAACGAATCAAAGCTAAGTTTCAAGTTTTTTCCACGGAAAAAGCGCGATATTGGGTTCATTATTGGATGACAGGGACATTTTCAATCAACTACGGTAGTACCCCGATAAATTATGTTAATGTTGCGGTACTATGCCAACTTGAGTTCCGATACTACCACAATTAATAGGAAATGTCCATATCATCCAACAAATAGGCGTAGTACCACAATTTTAGGGGATAACCCCTGACACTTTTTCCCCTGAAGGATCTCAAAATGGCGGAAATTTGGCATCTCCGTTTTTTATCGGCGGATTGGTCTGAAACTCACAATCCTACGGTTTTTCGGGATTACGTACTGGAATACGTACTGTCCGTTAAAAAATATCCTGGCTTAAAATTTCTTCACAATACTTATGAGTGTGAAGTTGTTATTTTTGAAAAAGCGGGTTACTTGTTCCTGCGAAAAATAGTTTTTCATAACCCGCCATACAATGCTCTGGTTTCTAGCCATCATGATTTTCAAATTTTGAAGATTTGACTGGAATGGGTTACCCTAATACTACGTTTCACAAAAACTGACAGGAACCAAGATAGCATTTAAGGCCACGGTCGCCATCTTGGGTTTACGAATTTTGGAAATTTGACTAGAAATTTGAGTTTCCCGTCGAAAAATACCATGTGGTACCGAGCTTCATTGAACTCGAACGAAGAGAAACCGAGATAGCATATTGGGCCACGTCCGCCATCTTGGATTTGAGAATTTTTAAATATTGACTAAACATTCGAGTTTCCGGTCGAAAAATACCCACAGACACTGAGTTTCAGAAAAATCCATCGAACAGGAGCCGAAATAGCATTTTAGGCCACGTCCGCCATCTTGGATTTGAGAATTTTCAAAAATCGACTAAAAATTCGAGTTTCCCGTTGAAAAATACCTTAGGATTCCGCGTTTCACAAGACTCGAACAAACAGAAACCGAGATAGCATTTTAGCCCACGTCCGCCACCTTGGATTTGAGAATTTTAAAAAATGGACTAAAAATTCGAGTTTCCCGTCGAAAAATACCCCCGTAAACCGATTTTCAGGAAAATCCATCGAACAGGAGCCGAGAAAGCATTTTAAGCCACTTTAGTCATTTCGGATTTTCGAATTTTGGATTTTCTTTAATTTTGACGTATTTTGATTTAAAACGCGTAATACCCAAAAGCGAAGCTCAGATTCGGATTCCTCGTAAAAAATCGATGCGATTTTCTGTATCATACCCTGAAACCGAGTTTCACAAATATCCATCGAACAGGAGCCGAGATAGCATTTTAAGCCACGTCCGTCATTTCGGATTTTCGAAGTTGGAAAATCTGACTTAAAACGCGTGATACCCGAAATCGAAGGTAAGATTCGGATTCCTCGTTAAAAATCGATGCAAATTCATGTATCATACCCGATCATAGCGTGAAGGAAAGAGACGTAAAGTAGGCATACTGATTCGAGCATATGAATGCAACGTGGCAACATGGCTAGTGCTCAGTGGGTCAGCGGAGGAGGAAGAATAAGAATTTATCGTGAGAAATTCCTCGCGACGAAACTAAACGTTAGCGCGCCGGCCGGCGCCTCCCCGCTCGGTTTCACTCGGGCGACCCGCGCGGCGGCGTAGTTCAAACGGGTAGTATGACAGAATCTATACGCGTCGTTAAACCTTTTTCCTTCACGCTATTTTAACATATGATACATGAAATCTCATCAATTTTTCACGAGGAATCCGAATCTGAGCTTAAATTTTGGATATTACGCGTTTTAATATATTGTCATGGGAACGGAGTTCCCCATGATATTAGAATCGTTCCGTTGCTTTCGCAATGGGATTCCCTATACCTCTGCGACCTTGAGCGTTTCGCCCAGTCTCCGATTTTTGGTTGATTTTCCGATGTATCAAAAACCGTTGTATTTTTTAGCCAATCATGTCTCTACGTCAAGTTGTGTTGATTGCTAAAATTCGCTTTCAGCGAGTTTTTTTCCACTTTGAGATGTCGTGTCTGACTGGTAAATCTGCGCAGAACCACGAAGTTCCGTTTTTAGGCAAATTCTTTTTTTTGGGAGGTTCTGATTGGTTATTTTTCGCCATCAGTTTTCTGTTCGTTGGTGCAAAAGATCGCCTACCTCGGTGTTCTTGAGAAGCCGCCATTATCCCACCTCAAATTTGAAAAATAGAAGTAAAGAAATAATAACTATCGTACAAGGTGGAAAATTGTTCTGGAGGACTCGTTACGGACAAAGAAGTCAAAATCAGAGCTTGATTGATTGATTTAATTCATGGATACGCAAATATTGCCTTAGCTCAACTGCCGCGATCGGAATGCACGCTGGTATGAACCTCGAGACACATTAAAACAGTGCGAACCATGGCTCATATCCCAAAAGCAACGTTCAAAGCGTCAAGGTCTCTGGTGATAAGTCCCGCCCATTGCCCGAGTCTTTTAAATGCTATTTTTACTCCCCATCACGCGGGTCCGTCATAGCCTAGTTGACTGATCCGCCTCGTATTCGTGACTAGATGCGGGCACCCGGCGATCGTGCGTTCGATACCCAACGATGGGAACTACTTTTTAATGGTTGTATTGAATGTTTTAGACTAATCATCAAAAAATAATTAATAGTAGATGATAAATGTACGAACATTTTCTCGTGAGTTAATATGTTAAACAAAAATACTGGAATATACCTCCTTCATATAATCAGCCACATGTCCCCCCAAATTAATGACGTTATTTTCCTTTTTCAATAAAGTTAATTTGCATTCAACGTTCGTAAGTTAAGCAAAAAGTACCTATTGATACAAATAGAAAGACATGAAAATAGTATGTCTGACATTTCAGTTGTTTTTTTTTTATTTATTTATTTTTTGTTTTTTTGTTTTTTCAATAAAACAAATTGACTGGGACTAGAATCATCGTATCTCTGAAGACAAAAGCTAAGTTTTTTGATACAGAAATACTAATATATTCATCCTTTATATAATCAGGGAGATGTTGACCCAAATATTGATGTATATTTTCTCTGTTCGCCCAAATTAATGATGGTATTTTCTTTTTTCAATAAAATTAATTTACATTCCACGTTCTTAAAGCAATATTTTCTCCAAAATTCAGCAAAAAATAACAATTTATACCTACGCAAAAAGTAAATAAATAAATAAAGCAATGACATGAAAGTAGTATAGGTAGTACACATCTAACATTTCGGTTACATCTATTTGAATGAAAAAAATGGCAACTTAGGAAGCACATAGGTCACTTATCGACGGTGAAACTACCAAACCACGTATCTCGGTTTGCGACGTCGCAGACTTTCTGTCATACTTTATTTTTTAAATGAAAAGCTACTTAACGTCCAGTCTTGAAAATTTCCGTGATTTTCCCTCTTCGTGCGGAGAAAATTCTGTGAAAATTTCAAGGAATGATATTGATTTGGTCTACTTCAAAAAAATAAAATGTGAGCGGAGATTTTTAAACACCGCAAACGAGATACGTGGTTTGGTAGTTTCACCGTCGTCATGATGCGTATTCGGGCATATGCGTAGAGTAAAAATATCATACTTTACGCCGAAAAAACGAAACTGAAAGTTAAATGCGTTAACTTCCAAAAACCATACATAATCCAACGAAAATAAATAATTGGTAAATAACAGCTTTCTTGTATGCAAAGAAAAAAAATTAAAAATGTTAAAAAAGAGATGTCGACACAAAATTACATAGCCCCTTCAATTCTGAAGATACTACAAACGAACTGTACCTTAAAATTTTCATATCCCAGAAGCAAAAGTTCCCATGACGAATATTGCTATCGCTAGCGATTGCAAAAACCAACTTGTTTAAAATTGTAAGAGAATTTACAGAATTGTCCTCGAAAATTGATCACACACTAGTGTTTTTTTACGTCGTTAAACCTTTTTTCTTCACGCAATTTTAACAAATGATACATGAAATCGCATCAATTTTTCACGAAGAATCCGAATCTGAGCTTAGATTTTGGATATTACACGTTTTAATCTATTTAAAATCGTAGGAGAAATTACAAAGTTGTCCTTTAAAATTGATCACACATTAGTGTTTTTTTACCCCGTTTTCCTTCTGCGTTCACGTAATGAAATTAGACCAACAGTTGACTCATCGACTAGTCTAGCCTCAATCCCCGGAATCGGTCTAAAGGGCGAACGATTTTATCAGATAAGATGTGCGGTCCTAGTTTCCGGGCAATTGCGATTTGATGGAAGCTGCGATGAGGAGAAACGGAAGATATGCGAAACTCGGGCGGATATTAAGTGAAAAACCAGGAAGAGGAAAGCCTTTCTTCCCGAAAAGTTCGTACTCGGGCCAACTTACGTGGTCACTGGAGCATTGCATAGCAGGTTGTGGAAAACTATTTGTTTGCAGCAACAACCAATTGGATTGCATTTTGCAAAAATGAACTAAGAGCATTTTAATGTTGCTGAGATTGTGCAACTTAGGTACATTCTTTGGAAAAAATAAACGTTACGACGGTAATTTACGTCTCCGTGCGTCTAGCTGAAACGAAACGAAACGAACAGAACGGAGCGTTTCTCTACTTTTGAGGAGTCTGTAGTAAAGGAGCATACCTTTAATTCACTTATCTTACCCCATACCAACAGATCATGCAAAGACTCACAATTTCCCGCCTAGTTCAATTTTCCGAAAAATTTGAAAATTCTCGCCAATTAAAAATGGCGGGAATTTCAAATGCCCCTTTTCTAGGCTACCAGGTATACTCTATTATAAAACATATCTGGATCATATTCCCAAAATCTTATTACAGCGGGCTCATCTAAGGAATATCGCCTGTCGATAACCGCAAAAATTATGGAAATCGGTCCAGTAGAGCGCTCAAACGAACTATTACAGAAAATAAAAATTTACATTGTTTAAATGGGAGGATTCGCAACTTTACCGCGTAATATAAAAAAACTTGGGTCGTATTTTCAAAATCTGAATAAAGCGGGCTCATTTAGAGACAATTGCCTGTCGATAGCCGCAAAAATCAAGAAAATCGGCCCGGTAGAACGCTGGAATTAAGCTCGTTACTAGATATGCAGGCCTCGGAGCTTCTATATTTGATGTTCTTGGGCTCTCACTTTCAGGATTAATGGATTAATGAGACCCAATAGTCATAAGTTTCCTTGTAGAGGTGCTCTAATGTAGATTATTGTGTTGTAGAAAGAAGAAAAGATGAGAATCACTAGAATGTTCGGACGGGTGGAAAAAGACGAATATGGCACTTATCGGGTGGATGGGAGTCTAGCTGTATCCAGAACACTTGGTGACCGCTGGGCTAAAGGCTTCTATCGCGTGATCGCAACGCCGGAAATCTTCACCTTCGATCTCTCGGATTACAAACCGCAGTTCCTAGTTTTGGCGACAGACGGTCTTTACGATGAGTTGAGCAGCGCAGAGGTCGTAGCTTTCGTCAAAGAAAAGCTCACCGAGCCATATTTCGGAGCGAGGGATTTGGTACGTTTAGCTTATCAACTAGGTTCCGAAGACAATATCACGGTTTTGGTGATCAATTTCAATGGCGGCCGCTTTGGGCCTAGGAATTATAAACCTGCAGCTGATCAACAAACGATTGGAACTCGGGCAGCGGTAAAGACACGATGGGTAGATCGAGTGCCGTTCTTGAAGAACGTATTTAGAGGTCGGAAGGGTTTTAGAAAAACACCTTCCAGTAAAAAAAGGTCCAATAGTTCTCTTTCTGTAGAGTACATTTAAAGGGAGTGCATTGCTACTATGGGTCTCATGGACCCCCAAAAAACGGTGGCGACTCAGGGCCCCGGGTATGCTTATACAGAGAGAGTACGGACATGTCTGTCGAAGTATGGAGCTCTCGGGGCCTGGACACACGCTCTTTCCATCAAAATGATGACAAAAATGACGATCGAGAGTTATCTAAATTGGTATCGAAAATTAATCGAAACAGCGTGTTGATTGAAGTAAGCATGCAAGAAGCACGGCATGTGTGGAAATCAGATGACGGATGAGACCCACAGTTCCATCATACATACATACCCAAGTAGCATTTTTCAATGTAAAAGTTGCAACAAGTTGAAACAACGTTGGTATTAGTTGCAACAAAGTTTCAACTTTGGGTCAACTTTTTGTCGATAAGTGCCGATTTTCGGCGATCTGATCGGAAGACAAAGTTGCAACCTGCTGAGATTGCAAAATTGCTGAACCAAAGTTGTTTAAAATCTAAAGATAGGCAACCAGCAATACTTTGAAGTTGAAACATGTTTCAACTTAGTTGCAACTAGTCCTAACAATGGTAGCTCCTTCGGGGGAGAGAGTAGGCAATCTGCACATCAATCTATTAGTTGCAAGAATCAAACGATTTTGTTGCAAGTTGTTGCAACCGCTGTTACTTGGGTAAAGCCGTTTTTATTGCGCAGCCTCGAGCTCTGCGACGCCCAATCGCCATTGTCCCCTATCCTCCCAGAGATCATCAGGCAATTGGCACCTTCTGATCTCCTCTTCCACCCCTTGTCGCCAACCTTTCACAGGACGTCCACGCCGTCGCCTTCCGGGAGGAACCCAATGGAAAACCTGCTTGGGCAACCAAACGTCTGCCATCCTTCGCACATTTCCATTCCAGACCAACTGCTTGGACCTGATATCATGCACAATGTCCTTCTCTACACCCACACCCATATTACCTCGCGCACTTTTTCATTGCGGATACGCTCTCTTCTCGATATCCCAGCAAACCCTCGCCAAAAGTCCATCTCAGTTGCCCTAAGCATGTCTTCAGTTCTTTTCTTGCAGGTCACAAAAAAATTGTTGGTACATGGTGCGCACCAGTCACCATTTGATCGGAAATGGATGGGAATTTGAGCGTGTATCCAGGCCTTTGAGGGGCAGATACACCTGCTAGACGCGCGCCTTGAGTGGCGAGTTTCAAGTAGCATTCTTAACGAAAAAATCGCTAAATATTGCGATTTTATCGACGATAGAATCGCCAGGATCATCAACATCTGAGCGATTATCATCGATCTGATCGCGATAAAATCGCGCTTTTATCGCCCGACAATTTATCGCGATATTTTTGAAATAAAAATCGCGATAAATGACGATTTAATCTCGATTTTATCGACGAAAATTGATCACGATTTTATCGAACCGAAAATTGCGATTTGTAGCGATCCAATCGCCATATAACCTAATTTTTGATGCGATAATATCTCGATATATTGCCACCGATATAATCGCGATAACCAACCGATGAAATTGCCATTTATTACGATCACTGCCACTTGGGCAGTGAGTTTTTCAGTAAATAAAATGCTCGACAGTGTTCTAATAAGAATAAAAATTGCTACTTGCGAGTAGACATCTTGCAAAATAATTGATTGTTTTAATTTGTTTTTTCTTTTATTGACTTTCGGGAAAACAGTTTTACAAGGCAAAAAACACCCATACAAAGAGCACATATTGGAGCAAGGATTACTGCCAGGAACAGATGATAAACGTCAAAATGAAATAGCATATCCCACGGTATATGAGCAGCTATGGGTTTTAAATGATGGGCACCTTTGTGCCTGATGACATATTCTATCCAATAAACAGCGTTTTCCAGAGGCGGCATTGGTTTATCATTGAAAATAGCGGACCGCCTAAGTGCATTTTCTTTATATCTGAAAGCAAAGAAGGAACATATTAAGCGATGGACCGGCTGGATTACTAAATTGGGTCCAAGATTAAGAACTACAATAAATATTTTCGCATCTGAATGAGCTCATACTAAACTCTTTGAGCTAATGAGAAAAAACACGAAGTAGCCCGATCTGTATGTAACAAGGTGGAGAAACGGTGCTGCAGGGTCCACACCGTTTCGCGGGGAAAATAAAACCAAAAAGTTCCAAAAATTATAATTAGAATCTATCTTTTTTCTCTCTCTCTCTCTCTTAAACTGTAATGAGAACCAGTACAAAACTGAGGGGGAGAGGGTGCTCAGCTTAGGCAGTTTGCATTGGAATATTGAGGTCACGCCGAGAGATCTATACCGGTTTGGGTCTTTTCAGACCTCAACAGTAGATCACACTCGTCAGTGAACCCAACTTAACAGCCCGCAAAATCCGAGACAGAATTAAGCGCCGTCATGAATATGACTTGAGGCATGACACAAAAGTGTGATCCTCAAACGAAGCGTCGTAACTGACTGCAGGCACAGCTCTTTTCGAAATAAAATGCAAAGGCAAAAATCCGCAATGTAAAGATACCTACAAAATTAGAACAAAAAACCAAATTAACATACTTGGGATCGTTAACGATCCTCCTGATAGCCGACTCTAACCATTGCTGCGTTAGATTGGTATAATGGACGTGTAGACCATAACCGAGGTACTCTGCGTTGGCCAAGTTGATTATTTGATCGCCGTAGAAGGAAGTGCCCACCACAGGCACGCCAGCACGAACTGCTTCCATCATACTGGAGAGACCTCCGTGCGTTACGAATAACTTGCAGTTTGGATGAGCTTTAACAGATACAGCACATGTTTTCAGAATGTAAAGGGAACGGAGATGTTGCATGTGTAAGGAATTTGCGATTTGACTATATTGATTCTTATGTAAAATTTCGCGAGAAACACGATGGTGCCACTGGTTTTCTCTGAAATCAACTCCCAAGCTCAAAAAAGCTCTCAAGTTGAGACCAACATGGAGGGGATATTCCACGCTATCCTGAGAGTCCACCTCCACATCAAAACAAACTCCCCATGCAAAGATAGGGAGCAAATACATTAATAGGTTTGCTGTGTTTCAGTTTTGGAGTCCCCAAATAAAGTGGTAATCCTGTTAATGTATTTGCTCCCTATCTTTGCATGAAGAGTTTGTTTTGATGTAGAGGTGGACTCTCAGGATAGCATGGGATATCCTCTCCATTTTGGCCTCAACTTGAGAGCTTTTTTTGAGCTTGGGAGTGGGAGTTGATTTCAGAGAAAACCAGTGGCACCATCGTGTTTCTCGCGAACTTTTACATAAGAATCAACAGTTAAATCGCAAATTCCTCGCACATGCAACATCTCCACGGGCTTATTTCTAGGTTTTTGCCTACCGATAGCCGCAATGAACATAGAAATTGGTCCCGCGGATCGCCAGAAAAGGAAAGTTTGAGGGAAGTCCTCCCATTTCTGGGAAGTTGGGAACTGGTTCCGAATTCCGGAACTGTTTGAATTTTCCTGAATTTTTCTCGGGACCTTTTGAAATTCCCGAAATGTTCCGGATCTTTTGCATTTTTTCAGAACTTTCTCGGTGCTTTTGAAAAAAATTGAAAAGAATCCCGGAACTTTTGACGGTCATGAAATGGGAGAAATTGAAATATGAAAGTTCCCAAATCCAAACTTGACACTTGAAAGTGTCCTCTCATTGGGTGGCGAAACTGAGAGTACGTTACATGCGTCAAGATTTAATCCAATAAGTTTTAAAACTCGAGCATAGATGTTGAACACTATAAAAAGCTTTTTCTTGAAACTATTCGTTTCACCGAACAACAAACCCTCAGTCATGATAGCTCCAGTCTCTCTTGACATTTGTACCGTGTTCGGCAGAGAGAAACCAAGCCACATCGCAGCTATTACCAAATTTAACCGGGCAATTCAATTTTTACAAAAGAACGTTTGTGCGGATTCCTTTGAAAATTGTAAGGAACTTGCCTCGTACTATGCAGAAAATTTATTAAAATTCGCACAACGTAAACAATTGAACCATCGAATTAAAGAGCACAAAGTATGCACAAAGTGGCCCATTTTTGGGCCCTCGTAATTGGGGTCGAAGTGAGGTTTTTTTTCATCCCTTTACACATACTAAAATTTCAGATTGAGTATACGCACCGTTTTCGAGTTATGGGGGGGCAAAGTCCCCGATTTTCACCCATTTTTGCAGGTGTTTTAATGTCGAACTCCGGCTATTACGAGGTACCAGATCTAGATATTGAAGCGCGGTTTGCGAAGATTTGTTCAGCTACTCCTGTAGTATTTTTCCATATCTTTCACAAAGCCCCAAATGGTTTTTTGGGAGGCGGGGAGGGGGGCTTTATTCATACTATCATGACCGTTAGCGCATCTTACCGACTTTACTTTGTTCTCTTCTCTCCACGCCGCGGCCACGATGGTACTTTCTGTTGGGGATTTTTCTTCTTCTTTAAATTTTACCAATTTTAATGTCCTCCCCCTCTTTTCCCCTTTTTACCCCCTCCCCCGCAATCCAAACACTTCCTCTCAAGTGTTCTTCCTGTGAGGCAGATATGACGAGGTCATATGTGGGGAATTATTTTTCTTTCTTTACGATTGATAAACTTTGACTCAACTTACTTCTCCCTTACAGGGGTAAGGGCCCCCTTTACCTCTGTATTATCCCCCCGCCCTGCCCGCTCCACATTACTTGAAGTATTTTGTTCCCTCCGCAGCAGAAATGACGATGTTTCTGGGAAGTAATGTTTTACTTATGTTTAGGTGCTGAAATACTGAATACATGGGAGCCACCCTCCTACTCATCTCCATTAGTCCCCCTCTTCTTCCTCTTCCCCTTCCCCTCTTGTTCGTCCCTCTTTTGCCTCGTTCTCTTTACTTTTCACTTTTCTTCTACTTTTTACTACTTTTTTGTGGGAGTTATATAGTCACGCGAAGTGAATGTGGAAGAGAATGTACCTAGGAAAGAATAAGTCAAACATAGAAGTGGAAAGAGGAACGTGAAAAATATGAATAAGAAACAATTCTTCA